GCGCGGGGAGGGCGGTCTGGCGAGGAGTCACTTCGGTAGACGTTGAATTTTTGTCTTGGAGATCATCAGTTAGTTGGAGTTTGCTGCGTTGTGTCAATTTATGTGCCCGGAAGATGCTGCTTTTCCCCTTCACTCTCCCCCAGGGACACTCAACCAGAGCTTGTCTCTCAACATGAGGCACTTTAAAAATGAGAATCTCTGGTTGTCTTTGAAACGTGAGCCATTTCCAGCTGGGTCACATCCTGATGTTTGTACTCTTCCCTCAGTGGGTGTCTGCAGGTATCACCCCAGGGGTGTGAAGCTCTGCAGATGTCTGGGACGCTTGAGGGAGGCCTTGTGGCTAAAGAGCCCTTGGGCTTTGGATGTTCTGGGTGGATGGCGGAGTTGTTGCCCTCGCTGCCCAACGTGCTGGCATGCAGATACCGCAGCTGCCTTTGAATGACCTGCCATGTGTGGGAGAGCTGTGCCCTTGCAGTGTCTTGGGGGTCATGAGCGTGGCTGTCCTGTATCCTGGTGTATCTGTCGCAACCCTGTATGACGTAACGTGCTAATGGAAGTCTGCGGAGCCTCACGCAGAGGCTGAAATGTTTTTTGCAGTGGGAAAACAATGCACGGTGCTGACTGACTGCAGCAGAATTGTTCCCGAGTTTAGCGTCAGCAATCCACTGCAAGCTGTCTGTGAGAGGAAGCCATAACAGGAAAACAATGAAGAATTATGCTATCAAAGTCTGGTTTGTGGTATTTTCCCTTTTTCTTTTGTAGAAGTGTGAGTCACTTGAGGTATGTTAGAAAGAACTCAAAAAGTGGATTCAGTGTAAAAGCTACTTAAAAAAATGCAAGTTTCTGTTTTGCAAAACCTTGATGGAAGTAGACACAGTATGCTGTGTTTTTATTTTGATTGATAGCTGGCAAGAATTAAAACTAAGCAGAATCTAAAAAGAATTCTGTGAGCATTAAAGAATTTTTTTTAATCGATGATATCTTGCTGGTGAACCTCTGTGACTCTTAAATAGGAATTTCAGGGGTAGAGCTTGTGCTGTGCAAATTGACTATGCAGAGCTACTGCATCTATGTAGATGTGTGGAGTATCTGGTTTGGAGGTCATCCTTCAATCATAGCTGATTTCCCTGTCTGCTGTCTGTATGGGCAGAAGAGAGGGTTTGAGGCAGCCTTGAAGCATCTCTTAAAATGCCATGCAGGCATAGAATCAATGGTATGTTTACGGAACTATGAGAATTCTAGCTTAGAAGCAGAAAAATCACTTACGTATTCCTAAATATAAGAATTCTGTAGCACTGCATATGCCTTCTGGGTTTGTGCATAATATCTCAATCTACTTGATGATATTTTGAAAATTTTCCCAAGTGTTTAATCACCTAGAAAGTACAAAAGAGTCCTGATTTTTCCCTGAGATCTGCTAACACAAAGTGTTTTATCTTTGAGGAGTCTCACAGTAGATTATGACAGTTGATGTCTGTCTTCTGATCAAACAGATTGCGTTTGAATGGAATATCACAGAATTGCAGAATAGTTGATGTTGGAAGGAAATGCTAGACATTTCCCACTTGAACTCCCTGCACAAAGCAGGTTCAGCTGGAGAGGTTACTTGAGACCGTGTTGGTATTGAATATCTACAAGAATGGAAACTTCACATGTTCAGCCACCTTCTCCTCATAGTTTATAGAGCTTTATATTATCTGAACAGTGACCTTGCACTTCATGTTGTGTAGGTAAATCCTTGTATTTGAATAGGCAGCTGTTAATCTCAGGATGATGTTTTGTCATTTGGGCTTTGTGATATGTCCATGCAGGACAGTTTGCAGGATTGAGACTTCTTTATCTTTCTACATTCTGGTTTTTCTTGCTTTCTGCCTGGTATGTTATCTACAGTGAACAAATTGTGTCAGATTATGTCATAATTGAGGTAAATATGAGTATAATAAAGCTGTAGTTAAGATACTGTAAAGCTTCTAGTCTTAAACCACTATCAGTTTTATTTCTCATTATAATAAACAGTATTTTTTGGCTTCAAAGAATAGTAAGGAACATTCATTCCTTCAAAATGGTGATATCTGTGAAAGCTGTGGGTAAATATTGTCCTCATTTTACATTGACAGACTTGGTGTTAGGACTTGACGCTCTCAGATCTCATCGTTTTGCATAACCCATTTGTTCATGCTCTTTCATTTCCTATGAGGTCCAGCTTTTCCTAAGACTTTATGGACTTCCTGAATGTATCATAAATTCTGTATTGCCATCAAATAAACGGACTTCCGATTTCACTTTATATATAATGTAATGTTTGTCCTGGGATTGTTTTTTTTTTTTTTTAAAAAAAACATGTAAGCTTGGTCTCCACTACCAATTTTCACTTTAAAGAAGCAGACATTTTGGGGCATGCCTTGCATTTATCCCAGCACACAGAGAATCTGAGTATGCTACAGTCACTTGAAAAGATTGCATTGATATGTGGAATTGCACACTAGGGCAAGATGTGTCAGGATAGAAGCATTTGCAGTGTAAATGGGGGGTTATCTGCCACTACCTGAGTTGCAATGAACCTGAAAGAGGCAGCAAAGAACTCCTTAAATCAGCAACTAAACAGAGCTAAATAAGCAGCTGTAGTGAACAATGCAAGTTAGAAAGAATGAGCAATGAAATCATTAATTATTCTTTCATAGTATGTTAGTTCATCTGGTTCCCTTTGCAATTTAAATTACTTAGCTAGTAAAATTATTTTTGCCATCAAAATACAAAGTGTGCCAATAGTACTGTCTCGGGAAGCAGGGTAATATTTCATCTGGGGAAATAAGCCTTAGTCTACTGTTTTTGTATTATTTGATTGATTTCTTTTTAGTATTACTTATTTGTGCTTTTTTTATTGAACAATGGAATGAGAGAAGAGACCAAGATTAAAACTAGGTCAGAACAAACCACATAAATGATCTTACTAAGACATAAAACTAATTGGTTAGAATAGCACTAAAAAGGTGAAAACAGCATCTACATTGTGAATGGAAGTAGACAGAATTATAATGTTCAAAATTAGAATCAAACATTCAATCTAGATTAGACAGGAATATATTTAAAGGAGGATAAAAAATGCTAGTCTGAAGTTTTATTCTTGGCTCTGACAGAGGTTTCCTGCGTCAACTTCAGAAAGCCGATTTCTGCTCTGTAACAAAGGTGGCATCGCACTTCACTGCCTGAGGTTGTGGTGGTGCTTGTTTCATATGTGTTTCTGATGTTCAAATCGGAGGTGCTGTACAAATATTAATAAACCAGGAAATCAGTTGTATGGGGCTTAAAGAGTTTAGGCAAGTATGCAAGTGAGACCCTCTGAAAATGTTAACATTGACTTCTTCTTAGGACACCTGTTCACTGTACAGTATTACTTGTGGAAAGCATCATACATTTGGTGATGCGGGGTTGACAAACCAAGGTACTTATAATTTCTTTTACTGGCGAGTTCCAGTAATGGAAAAACTTAGCCTATCTCTTCCACATTGAGAAAGGAAAAGGATTGCAACATTACTTGTATTCACTGTTTAGTGAACACTATTCAGTAAGGCTGATTAAAATTGTTCATCCAAACAGTTGCTTTATATCATTTTCCTAATTTAATTCTTCTGTGTTCTCTCATTTTAGGAGATAGGACTTTATAAACATTTCTAGTCCTGACTAGAAGGAGGTGCAAGGAGTAGTGGACTCCTTATCAAAACAGGAATTCACAAAATGGAAGGTAGTTTCTACTCAACAGAGCTCTTGCAGAGAGTCAGATTGTCTGCAGGGTATTTTGAGATCCTTGGATGAAGGATGAAGTTTGGTATATGTTGTACTGAAGACGTGGGCTTTGTTATATAATTCTTCCTATACTGTCAAAAAGTAAATCTCAGTTTTATTTTAGTTTTGGGTTCATCTTGGATGTGGATGCAGATTTTGGTGTGAATGTTAGCCTGTAGGTAGCAAGTTCCTTTTCATACACATCCAGAAGCAAGATCCAAGAAAGAACCCATAGAAGGACTCAGATGTGATGTTGGCGGCGGCAGCAGTGCAGGGCGTGGCTCATTCGGTCAAGGCAACTCTGCTCAAAGCTGTGCAGGGTCGGGAGCCTTTCATAGCCTGCTTTCACCAGGCAAAGGCAGCAGCTCTGGCCCTTGATGCTGGGTGCAGAAGGATGCAGTCAGCTCTTCAGAAGGTACAAACTGCTCAGACTTTGGCTGTTTTCACCCCAAAAGATCAGGTTGGGTGAAGATATTGAGCAGTTGCCAGTTGAACCATCTTCTTAAAGTGTCTGGACGATTCCTTTTGCAGTTACGTATTCTTCAGTGTGACCTGAGAGAGGGTGCTGTTGTACCATAGTGCTGATGTAGCATGGATATC